ATTGAATGAAACGGTGACTATATTGAGAAAAGTTACATGTACTCATATTATGCTTTTGACGTCAGGTAACGTCAAAAATTTTCAGTTTAGTGCTCCGGGTATGGGTGTGTGTCTTTTTTAATCTGATAAAAATATAACTATTTGTGCTTAGATTTTGTTGAAAACTTGCATGTTAATAAAATGAAACATGAATTTAATGAAAATAATAATTTCATATATTTTATCAATGTTTGTCAGTAATTATCAATGTTGTCCACTAACTTTACGGACAACCCTCGTATATTGCAGAATATATACAAGCATTTCATTCAGATATCTAGAAATAAGATATTTGTTTATAATAAAGATACATATGACGATCACAAACATGCTTAGATAATTGTGCGACAGCTGATGATATAATATTCTACATTATGCTTAAATGCTCGTAGAGATTGAAGGAGTCTAATGTGTTGGCCGGGAAGTTTATTCCATAGATGTACACTTGAGTACTGAAAAGAGGTCTTGAATAAGTTTGTACGAAATTTTGGTAATTTAAGATCGTAATTAGTTTCAAAACGCAAGTTATAGGAAGTTGAAGAATGAAATTCAAATAATAATAATAATAACATTTGTATAGCGCCCTATTTAAAATAAATTACTCTAAGGCGCTGAACAGACAGTGTTTCAGATATACAAGTAGTTGAATACAACATAATAATCATAAAAACATAAAACCTAAAAATCATTGTACGAGATCATTACTAACATAAGAGTAAGCTAAAATTATAAGCTGCTGCACAAAGATCAACTTGAGATCAACTTAAAATTTTCACACAATACAGGTTGTGCCCAAATAAATAGTCTGAGGATAATAAAACTCGATAACTTGTTCTAAAAAATAAAAAAATTACACGTCGTATGCTATCTTAAAAAGATGAGTCTTAACATTCTGTTTAAAAGCTAAAAGTGACGTCTGAAACCGGAGAGCATCCGGTAAACCATTCCACAAAGTTGCTGCTGCATGGTCAAATCGACGCGTTCCGTATGTCTCCGTGCGAACACGAGGTTTCACAAGATGTTTGGAGTCATACGAACGTAGAGTCCTTGACGGTTTATAGACTGTTATGAGTTCCTTTAGGTATGATGGTGATGTCCCCTGGAGTACTTTGAAAGTGTATAAAAGGATCTTATAATATGTTCTTTTAACTGGTAGCCAGTGAAGAGATATCAGGACCGGAGATATGATCATGCTTCTTAGTTCGGGTGACAATCCTTGCTGCCGTATTTTGTACTCTCTGTAGCCGTGATATATTTATCTCTGTAATTCCATAGAGTCGTGCATTTCCATAATCAAGTCTTGATGTAACTAGAGCGACAACTAGAGTCTTATAAGCATCTTCTGTTATGAATGGACGAATTCGAGTAATATTTCGTAGGTGGTAAAAACAGGATTTGGACACTGCGCAAATCTGATTCTCCATGGTAAGTGATTTGTTGAAAAACACTCCCAAATTCTTCACACAATCTGATTCACAGATGACAGAACCATCAAAATCGAGTTGGTGTGTAAAAAAAACTTTAAGCTGACTCTTTGGTGTAAAAACAATAAACTCAGTTTTATCCTGGATCAATTTTAGTAGAATTGCGCAAATCCAGCTTCTCACATTAGCTAAACAAGTTTCTAGTCGACTTTTTAAGTCTGGCCGTGTTTCGTTCGGTTTTATAACAAGGTATATTTGTGTGTCATCTGCATAACAGTGAAACAGCATGCCATGATCACGACAAATGTTACCGATAGGTTTAGAGAAAAGCAGACCTGTTTACCCAAATCGTTCTTTCTCAGTATTTTTAATTAGATTTCTCCGTGAGATTTGGCATTTGCCAGTAAGATTTAACTCTCCATCGATTTGTCACATATTAAAAGAGAACAAATGCTTTTCCGATTACAAAAACTTGGTTCAACAACTAGGACTTTTGTCATTTTATAATACTATAGCGTTTACGCGACCAGGCATCACTTAAGTGTTTTAAATCGTTCTTTTTTTAGGGATTCAAAAGCGTGAAACGAAGACAGATCATAACAAAAACTAACTGCTAAATTCAAAGAAGATAGTTTTTCCGATTTCCGTATTTTCATAATAGCAAAACGTGAGACGTATTTTTAACTAAAAATCCGTACAAAATACGGCGAAATCGTAAGAGTAAACAGGTCTGCATCAAACGCAGCAGACAAGTCTAGCATCACTAAGGCCATACAGGAATTGTTATCAAGCGCTGATACAATGTCATGATGGACTCGGAGGATTGCTGTCTCTGTAGAGTGGCATGCTCGATATGCTGACTGCAGTGGTTCCTATAGATTGTTCACTTCCAGATGATGCTTGAGTCTTGTTGATACTACCCTTTTCGAGTATTTTTGAAATAAATGGTAAGTTGGAAACTGGTCTATAATTTTTCAGTTCATTACAGTCAAGTTCCGGTTTCTTCAGAATAGGGCGAATTATAGCCCCTTTGAAGGTTGTCGGTACTGAAGATCCAGATAATGATTTGTTTATTATCACTGTTATTAAGGGAAGCAACTCTTCAATGCAGAGTTTCACTGTTATGCAGATGACTTCAAATAAATTATGAAGATATTCGGGAGTCATTCCGCTGAAAACTTTGTATAATTAAACAATAAAATGCTTTCTTTGTTTGTTATTACTGGAATTAACGGAAGCAGCTGTTGCAGAAAAAATATATAACCCGCTTACGCGGGTTATGTAATTTTTTTCAAATTTCTATCGAAGTTTTCTCAGCAACTACTACCCTCAGCTGCTTGAAATTCTTTCCTGAGGCATGCCATATGATGAGATTCAGTGCATGTTTGTTTATTTAAATCGGATGTGAACTTTCTGTTCGTCAGTGCATCCGTCAGTTTGAACATAACAAGGTTTGTAAAGTTACTCATCACAGATTCTTAAAATGTTAGCAAACTTTTTGATTAGGCATTTCATATAGTAGATTCAATTTTGTACAAATCCGATGTCAACTTCGTGTTTATCCGTGCGTCTGTCCGTTTCAAACATAAAAAGTACAGATTAGTACATAATCTATTGAGGTATGCCATGTGGTGGGATTCATTTTTGTTCACTTATGATGTCAATTTATCTGTGCGTCCGTACGTACAACTGTGATACATAATATTTTTTGTCTCAGTTCTCTCAGCAACTTCTCGTTACAGATACTTGACATACTTTGTCGATAGTATACACGACGCTAAAACTTGCGCCATTTTAAATACGATTGGAAATTTATATATTTTGTTAACCAATTAAACGCGTTATAAAGTTATCATATTGTAATTATTTATATTCCTGCAAGGAGAGAAATGGCTATTTTTAAATAAATCTATCTCGTGACGCCGTCGCTACTTTTAGATTGATAAACAAACAATGGCGTCAAGAAAATGAGTAAGGCCGTTTTAGATACATCTCACTTTTGACGTGGATGGCAAGCGTTGTACTCTTAATGATACTTATCTTTTACTGTAATTAGTATCAACCATCTACTCTGTTATGACACATATTAACCTTTTATTAATTATTATTGTCAAAATACAACATATCTCGTTGTCTATGATTTCCCATGGACATGTGTTTCTATATATAGGCCTACTGTTTACGCACTTCCTTCATGAAAAGGCTGAATTCCTAATTGTCAGATATTGATTAATTGTTTTGTAATTACTACACTTCTTGTGTTTCAAATCATTTAATCATTTTGTTTCACGCAACATTCTGCGTTCGTATAGCGTGTATTACTTTAATTGTTATATTTATTGCATATTCATAATATCGTTCGTTGTTATAGATCATTATGATGTGGAAAATTTAGTTCATCTTTAAAAAGATATTTATTCAGAAAATCTTAACATGTAAACAACAAGCTAATTCAGAGAATTCGTGTCCCCTGCTTAGGGAAAAAGTCGGATCCCCCTGATTGAATTTGTAGAATTATGAAATGTATACATGAATACTGAAGCATATAAAATACATGTATGTCAATATGCATATAAAGATTTGATTGCTTATTCTTTATTATGTGTATAGAAGATTCTTTTTATATGGAAAATTTATCATACTGTAATGACGATTTTATAACCTCATAAATTTTTCATTTCACATGCTGAATACTATCATTAAGTAAAAAAAGAAAAGTATTTTAAAAAAAAGGATCGTCCAATAAAATTTTTATTTTTTTACCTCTCACATGTGAAGCGAGAAACATACCACTAGACCATGGAACCGCTTATTATGAAGGCAAGTATATGCAGAACTAAAGTCACATACATGTGTATATTCATGATCGGTATTGTCAGAATTTTACACAATCCATGGTGTTTGATTTATTTAGCCTTTATTAAACAGTTCCAAAAGATGTAATAAGAACATAAAGTCCGCCGAGAACCTGTTTTATACGCAATAACTCTCCTCATGCCCCTGTGCTAAAATTAGCGACATGTAATACTATAAATACTAATAAAACAAACGGGGTAGGGCACTTTGAGAGGGGTGAGAGAGGTCCTAGGGAGTTTTGGTATAAAATTACATTGATAAGCTCAAAATCTTCTTGAAATATCGCCCGGAAATTATAGTGTTACACACAGACAGAATGTATAGATTTACGACCTTGAACTTTGACCTTTTGACCTCAAGATCAATAGGGGTCTTCATTAGGCCACAGGGAGTTATGTAAAATTTCATTGCAATAGCTCAAATGGTTCTAGAGATATGGTGTGGAAACGAAAATGTTATAACAGAAAATTTGCTTATTTATGACCTTGACCTTTGACCTCAAAATCAATAGGGTTCTTCTTTAGTCCACAGGGAGTTGCTATGCTAAATTTCATTGCAAAAACTCAAAGGGTTCTCGAGATACCGTGTGGAAACGAAAGCATTACAGACAGACAGAAAGACGGACGGACGGACGGACAAACCCAAATTAATATCCCCCACTTTTAAAGCGGGGAACAAAAAATGGGGTAGAAGTGTGGTAGATTTCACTTTTGGCAAATAGAATTAAAAACATTCAGTTTAAAGCTTAACAAGTTTAGTAAGAATGTTCCCGCCATTAACGATCGAACTCTCACTATTTCTGAGGACCCCTATATAAAGCGACTGAAGTGTGACTGATAGTGTAATCAGTGTAAAATGCTAACTATCTGCAAATAAAAATATTGTATATGTGTTGTATATATGATGTACATGTAGGAATAAAACTTGTTTTCGAAAACAATTTCCGATTATGATTATGTATCTTGTGTACTTTCCTTAATTACGTCCTTTTTATTATTTGATTTGAAAGTCTAATCATTGACAATAAAATTTTTAAGTTTTTTATTCATATATGCATGCTAGTTATATTTATCTGTACATTGTTTATCAGAATTTAGTTTTCATGGACAAGAAATTTTAGTTTAAACTCAATAAACGCCTTATCTTTGATGTTAGGATTTTAAATTTGATAAACGCAAAACTTCTACTTCGTAAAGAAATTTATATGCTTGATGTATTTTTTTAAAATGTATTCAGAGTTTAGTTGTTTGCTTTTATTATGTTTTAAGGTTTGCAGCTCGTAAACCACATGCGTTTGCAGTCTTAATAATATTCTTTTTTTTGAAAGGAAAGAAATTCCTTTTCAATTTTATTTTGATCAAGGCCTTAAAAAGATTTGGAAAATGTACGATCTCTTTCTGATATCTATATCAACGATTTCTTCTATGGGATATGGTAAGTATCATTTGTAACATACATATTCTACGACAGAAATTGACCCTTACGTTTCGGGTTCGAATCCCACTGTGGAACGTAGAGATTGGTCCTTCGGATGAGACTGTAAATGTATGAATATAGGTCCCGTGTCGTGATAGGTGCTGGGATGAAAAAGATATCTCACTGCTTAATTTCCTCGAGTGCATAGTATAACTCTCTTGTCCGAAATTCAAATGCATAACTATTGCGCAATCAAGGGTAAGTGGTTACCACTTCAGTTTACGTCCCACTCCAGAATTGCGTTACCATCGTATTTGACAAGCATATCTTCAATACTCCCTGTTATATCTCAGTCTACTCTTGTCTTATTTTTGTCTAGAAAATGTAGCCCTTAAAAGGCCGACTTGGCAACAGCACCCTCTACCTAATGATGCCTATGGATCCGATAATGCTGTGGACGGGGAATACAGCGATCGGTCAACAACAGGGGATCAGTGCGTACTTTCGGACAACTTCCAGACAACAGCAACCTGGTGGGTGGATCTAGGGAGGGTGTATAGTATAAGCCACATCAACATCATGTACAAGACGGATAATCTACCTCGTATGTTGTTTGTTACTCTCTTTTCAGAATAAAATTAAATTTTCTGTGCATTAACATTATATTTACTTTTAATTATACCGTATAAGTGGACGCAAAAGTAGCGATTTACCTCGTACATTGTTTGTTACTTTTTTCAGTATAAAATTACATTTTATATCTTATATTTACTGTTAATTATGCTTCTCTCACTTTGTTCGTCCGAATATAAATTAATTCTATTCTAAGTTTTAACAAGAAAAGACCAAAGTAGGTGTGCTACTCGCTATAACCTTTCATCAATTAACGTACAAAATTATGATAATTATTTACTTCAGTTTACTAAATACATGTACGTATTAATTGGTATTCCACAGGAGTTCGCGTACCTTTCAATTTTGCTGAAAATTTCGGTAAATAAAAAAAGATACGTAATACCTATAATAATAACACAAGGAGTGCAACCGTTGTCCACGACGCCATGACGTGACGTCACGGGCGGTCCATTTACCCAAAAGGAACAAAAAAAAAACCAATCATACACAATTAACTAGAGATAAAGATATTACGTTTAGATACGAGTACAAGTACTTGTACCTCCCCGTTTTAAAGTTTTCTTGAATGTCTACTAACTTGTCTCTGGTTTCTTTTCGCATATGACCTCAATCATCTAGATTAGCATTTCAGGCAGTTCTGTTCCTTTTTGGGTAAATGACGCGCCCGTGACGTCACGTCATGGCGTCGCGGACAACGGATATTTGAGCGAAGTTGTGGAAAAATGTCACCGCTGCTGCTGTAAAACATGCGTTTGAAATCATATGCATAAAGAGCCATAAAGAATGATCCCTTCCAAAAAGATCGGTTTGCATTTATTAATTTTCGATTGAAGATTAATTGTGCGACAGCCTTGATATTAAGCGAGGGGTTACCAGGTGACCTAAAATGCGTTGCACTCCTTTGTGTTATTATTATACGTATTACGTATTCTTTTTTAATTTCATGAAAATTTCGGTATAATTGATTGGTACGCGAACTCCTGTGCTAGCAAGTAAACAACGAATTGAATTTTATATAATATACATGTACTTACTGTTTGAGAAAAATATAAAATTTGCTAAGGGGCTTCAATCTTTCTTTTGAAAACCAAATTCACAATCTCATGAACACGAAGGTCTCCTATAGGTCAACTGAATGAAAATGGAATTTAAGCGTATATATATCATAATGTAAACTTGATAACAAGACACTCTCGTGTTTCACAGGTCCCAGTCCCTTTGTTGGTCGTCTTGCCGGCTTTTCTCTTTATGTATCAAACACATCGTGCAAAGACGATGGTCATCTTTGTTTCCATGAAATACAGAATAAGGAGGGAACCCCATCAGAAGACCAAAGGATAAATTGTCCTGTTCATGGCCGATTTGTTATATTTTACAACGAGCGAGTACCTGGCGTCGAGTATCCTTATTACTATTCTCCATATGCATACAATGATTTGTGTGAAGTACAAGTTCATGGTAAGGCACTACAAAATGGCAAAATACGTTGAGTATAAAAATTTTAAAAGAGGCTGATTAATAATCAAATAAGGAAAGAAATGAAAAAAAGAGTTGGAATTCTAAGAGAACTAGATTAAATAGATTCGAACAATCCCCGATAATGAGAAGGGGCACACGTACCGTGGGTGTGACCGCTAGGCAGGGGATGCTCAAATCTCCATGGCACCCGAACACACTTCTGATATATTGGAGGTCCGTGTTTGCTTTGCTTCAAATTGTATTGCTACACAAATAACAAAAAGATCATCATGCTAAATAAATCGTCGAATACTAAGTTGGATCAGGTGCCTCGAAGACGTATGTGTCCCCTGGCGACTAATCTCAACCGTATCCTTGCTCAGTCATTATCCGACAAAACGGAGAGATTCCTAGACAATTCAATTTTCAATAATGACCCAGTACTTTGTATGAAATTCGTTGACCAGTCAACATTCCACTAACGATGAATTTGTTCAGAATTTCATTGTACCTACCAAAGACATAAAATTTTGACATAAAACTGTATTGATAATGAAACTGTATATGATTTGCTTTATAAAAAATATGTTACTATATTTCTAGGATGCCTAATTCGTGCATTTTATGGAGAAGATTGCAATCGATCATGCCCATATACCTGTCAGAATCATTTATGTCACATACACACGGGCGAATGTTTTAGTTGTCTGCCGGGTTATCAGGGGCCTCGATGTGAGCAAAGTAAGTATATGCCTGTACATGTATTAATGCACAGGCACGTAGCATCGTTTTTGACAGTGGGGGGTGCCAACCAGTAAATTTTTTTAACTTATCCGTAAAAGTTGAGAAGCAAAAAAAAAAGCCCAAACTCGAAAACCTTATTTGGTGGGTGTGGGTGTGTGTGTGTGTGTGGGGGGGGGGGGGGGGTGGGGATTGGCCAACTTTTATCAAGGCTTTCTTTCACTTTCAATTTTTTTTTGTATAAAATACTAAATTTCCTTGACATCACTATACTGTGGTAAGAAGTGGGGGGGGGAGGGGAGGGGGCAACCAACCTTTCAATGGACATTTTCAATAGTGAAGGTAATGTTGGCAAAAAAAGTGGGGGGGGGGGGGGGGCTGGCCAGGCCTACCCCATTTACTACGTCCCTGATGCACACTATAACATTTTTCTGTAAAAAAAAAAAACATATGAGCGACTAAAAGCGCTTTGATAGTGTGATTGCTTTTACACAAGTTGTACAGAGTTGTCTAAAACAATTTAACGCAAGGCATTACGAAAAAAAACATGTCAAAAAATATAAAATGGCTCTTTTTGGAAACCAAAGAATATTTTGCATATGTTTTATTATTGATTAATGTCATTTTGATTACGTGATTGATGTGATATAAAAGTGTTAATTTAACTGATTGATTTACAACTTTCTTTTATTTAATTTGTTAAAGATAAAACATTAATTATAATCTACTAAAGAGATAAATTTAAACAGAGAACGAGTGGACATGTATGTAAAGGTTTCCAATTAAGAGAAGTTTTGTTTTTAGTTTCTACATTTTGAATAAGCAAGTCCTTATACAAAATTTCCATTTCAGGAGTTATCTTTCCGAACAACACCGATATGAACACAAGAATTATCATCAATTCTGTAATCACCTTATCCATTGTCCTTATTGGCGCCGCCATCATATACCTAATATGGAGGAAAAAATAAAGTGAGTAGAATATGTTTTCTAAATCAAAAAAATTGGGATAAGATTTTTTTATTTATAGCAAGTGAAAACCCTTTTTTACATCGATATAAAATTTAAATAATACCTTATCATGGCTTATGATAACCTTTATTGTCACAGATTTATAACGAGTAGCTAGAAATTATACTGATTACGTATGAAGCAACAATGAAACAATGTAGACTGTTAATGGCTAAAGAATCAATTTTTTCTCACATGACGAACTTCTTTCACACACGTATAAAACGACTTATTTAATTAGTGTTATTTAAAACTATATATGACGAATCTGAGCTACAGAATAAGAATACGACATAAAATATGTGTAAATTTACATATTTGTGATATGTTAAAATTAAAAATTTCATTGATTATTATCTTAAAGATCACAACATTTCTTGAGTTAATTAAATTGTCTTTAAGGCGTGTCTGATATTTTAATACAGAGTCGGTAAATAAATCCGTTATTGTTTTAAATTTCTGATATCTATCTATGAAGAGAGATTGTTTTCAATTGTGTAGTTAACAGATAAGTTCTATCTTTATAGTCTCCCGCGCGACTCAGTGGTTTATATATAAAAACAATACAAATAGAAAGATTTATTTAATTCAAGACTTAACTTATAAAAAATACGCAATATTTGACTTTAAAAAAAAACATTTTCAAATGTATATGTAATACTATTAATTTTTTTTTGTCTCTGAAAAATCAGATATTTTATCCGTGAAAATGAAAGCAGAGGTTTTGACTTTTGAATATAGTTATCGTAGGAAATATGCTATAACACTGCTTTTCCAATGATTTAAGCCCTGATGGAGAGAAGTTTGTTTAAGTTCTATTAACAGATGCATTCTTTATCACAAGTTTCAGAACACCATACGACCTGGTATAGAGCAAAGATTGAGAACGTCTACTTCACAGAACCTATGTGTTATTTCCCATCTTTGATGATTACAATAATAAATTTTTGCAAGGAACTTTGATTTTCACCCAATGAAATGATTTTAATGTATTTTATTTTCTACAAAACATAATTTCTGTTTGTTATATTTTTTTATGTTGTGTATGTAATCCGGAACTGAGCATGCACGTTTATCTCATGAAATAATTTATGTTTACTACGTCATAATTGTGTGTATTTTGTGTGTGTGTGTGTAATATAATGTCTCAATATTTAGATTCAACATAAATTGTGTAATTAATTGTAAACAGCCATTCTTTTGTACTTTACTTCAAAGGCTGAACACTCTAACGGCATAAAAATACTCGCCAATTCTTTGGTGTGCAGTGTTTAGAGCTGCCGTAATTCATTCCTCATAATTTAACATTAAGTATAGAAAACCAGACAATTTCTTCCCCCCCCCCAAAAAAGTCTTTTAATTGTTCATATTTAAAGCCTAAAGTCAAGAAGATTGAAACGTTTTTGACGTGTCATTGTGACGTAAGCAACCCAGGTTATGCAAATAAGATTTATTTTTCATCAAATCAAATGACGCGTTACAACCAAAAATTGTTTATACACATATACAAAATTTCTATCATTTTTTATTTAATTACAAAAAATTTCGAAGTGTATGTTTTAGCATCATTAACATTCCCGATCATCAAATGTTCCTTTATTTTATTTTTAGCTCTTCTGAGCCAAAGGCTCAAAGGGCTAAATTAGTGCTATGGCCTTTTGTGCGGTATGTGTTTACTTTTTAGAATATGGGCTATAACTCAAGAACCCCTTGGCCAATCTTTTGTCAAATTCGTCAGTGGGTATCCTTGGCCCAAGGGCTACCATTTATACTAAAACTAGGGGGTGGGACCCTAAAACAAGGGGAGATAATCAGGAAAATAAAAGCAAACGTACTGGTTGCTAAAAAACCTCCTCCAGGATCACCAGGCAGATTTTCACCAAACTTACATACAAGGGTCAAGATATGTCGAAGATTTAACATTGTTCAAGGCATGGCCTTTGGGCAATGGGCGTGGTCTTAAGGTCAATTCAAAATTGACCAAAATTTACACTTGCAATAAATGTTACTTTGCTTACTATAAAGACTAGGATAAAAATATCTTGTAAATTGATGCATCTTAAGAATTCACATCATTTTAACACAAAAAAAGTTCACGGTGTCCTACTTTTTAAAAATTTTACGGGCTTTCGTTTTCAAATTGATTTTGACGCATATTTTAGACACTTTAAGGCCTAAGATCATCAAACTTTGTCAGTTGATGCATCCTGGGTCCTCGAACAACGTCAGCTTAAAAGTACATGTAGGTCTCCGTGACCTACTTTTAGAATTTTGATGGCATATGTTTTTAAATTGTTTAAAAGGCATATTTTGAATACTTTCAGACCTATGATCATCAAACTTTGTCAGTTGATGCATTTTGGGTCTTCGGAAAATGTCGATCAAAAAGTAGGTCACGGAGCCCTACGTTTGACATTTTATTGCTTTATTTAAATAGGTACTTACTGGCTTAGAATCATCAAACTTTGTCAGTTGATGCATCTTGGGTCTTCGGAAAATGTCGACCTAAAAGTAGGTCACAGTGACCTTCTTTTCACATTTTATGGCTATACTTAAGCCATATCATTAGCTTAGAATCATCAAACGTTGTCAGTTGATGCAACTTGGGTTTTTAGAGAATGTCGACCAAAGAGTAGGTCACTGTGACCTAGTTTTGAATTGTAAGGCTATACTTAAGTATCCTTGGCACTTTTTGGGCCTAGAATTGTTAAACTTTGTCTGTTGAGGCATCTGGAAAACGTTCGACCATAAAGTAGGTCTCAGTGACCTACTTTTGAATTTCTCAGGTAGTTAATGGCTTAGAATTGTTAAATTTTGTCAGTTGAGGCATCTTGGATTTTCGGAGAATGTCGACCAAAAAGTAGGCCAGAAGGACCTAATTTTTATCATGTCAGATACTTAATGGCTTAGAATCATCAATCTTGGTCAGTTGAAGCATCTTAGGTCTTTAGAAAATGTAAACCAAAAAGTAGGTCACGGTGACCTACTTTTGACATTTTATAGCTAAACCTAAATACCTTCAGTCCTCAATTGGCTAAGAATCATCAAACTTTGTCAGTTCATGCATCTTGGGATACTCAAGAGTTACAGGCTTCAAATGGAAGTGATAGATTGTACAACTTATCAGAAGAGCGGTTCAAGTCCCTTGGGTCTCTTGTTTTTGCTGTGAAAAACAAATTGCTTATAATTGTCACAATAAGCATCAATTTTTATCAAAATTGATTATAGTTGGTAGAATGCAATTTTCAACTCTGAAGTTGCAGGGCGTATTTCATGTCTCCTCAATCTATGGAATGGATATGAAAATAATTTACCACTTTCACTCTATATATATATATACTGACACGCAAAAGAAACGCAACACCCTATTTTAGGGGGAAATAATTATGTAAAGTAAAGAATTCTATATCTTAAAATTATGAATATCTTCACTTTGGTGAACATCAGTAAATTAACGGTTGAACGATTTCCATACCATAACCGGAAGTTAAGTTTTAGTCTGCTTAACAGAAATAAAAAATTGCATGTTTAACAAAACATTTGGCAATATTATGGAGTTTTAAGGGTTTTTTTACTGCTCATCATAAGTAATGCAGCAATATTTCAAAAAATAAACTCTACTTTCGTTTCCCGAAACAATGCTAAGGCTACTTCAAAATGTCTTATGTACGCATTTCCATTGCTCTAGCTGGGAAATTTCAATGTAAAGGTGATGGAGAGTTGCTGATGCGAAATTTCACTACATTTCGCCTCAACAGGGTCTTACGTATCATATGCATTAAGGACAGTCTTTGTACCGGAAGTCCAAGGGTGACTACACTGCTCTAAGTTAGAGAAAATTCGACCTAATTATCTAAAAAACGGGCATTTAAAAATGTCAAAGAATAATTCCTTCGCTGAGATCTCGATATTAAAGAACCTATTGCATCGTAGAAATTAAGCTGCAATTGTTGTTTAGGGCAGTCTTGCACGTTTTACTTGAATCGCTGGGAGGGGGGTGTTTTAACAGTCATATTTTACTTAGTAAAGTAAACAGATCAACATTTTACATTTTTATCAAATCTCTGATGTTCTGAAAAGTGAATTTAGCCTTACTTTATTCGCTTTTAAAAAATCAAACATTTGTAAATTACTGCATGTTGCGTTTCTTTTGCGTGTCAGTATATAAATCTCAGATATTTATATAGCAAGAAAAAACAACAACAGAGAAAAAAAAAAAAGGAAAATGATTCAACAGATTGACAAAATGTTACGTCAAATTTTAGTTTTTCATTAAAATAAAATTTACGAAATAATTGAATATCTTATTATCCACTATAACGTTATGTGACAATGACGTCAAATAAGTCCTGTTTCTATCATCCAGCAACAAAATGGAGAATGTAAACAGACCTTGTCAAGTTTTTAATTTCTTTCCCCACATTAAAAGGAGGAATTGAGTCGATGTATATATTGACACAGCTGAAATTGGATCATCTCAAGTTCCCCAAGCTACTACTGCTAGCAAAGGGGTTTTCACGAGAAGTGTATTGAATAGAATTAGAAAAAATTAAGAAGAAATCCGGTTCATTTACAGCAACAGGAATCCTCTAAATTTTTCCCGACTGAGACAGAAGAAAGCTCATCTCGGTTTTCAGTAACTAAATTTATTTTATCTTTAGCTAAAACTCCCTTTCTGATATCCATTGTTTTATGGATCCTCTACTAGTATAACACATACCTTATGAGCTTACTGTCAGAGTCCTTATAGTATCTACATTTATATCACAAGTACTATTTATTGTGTCATTATTAAAATCTTGAAATTTATTTTCTAAGTCATTCTGTATCGAATGTTTATCACTCTGCTTTGATACAATTTACTGTCGATATCAATTTTTTAACCTCAGTATTTCTGTTTAAAAAAATTTTTTTTATTCTGTTGTGTACATTTTTAAATTCTAGACATAATTATAAATTCACATTTGCAGACCTTCAAACCATTTTCATTTATATAAATCAATTTTGTACATTGAATTATGAGATTCATTCATAATTTTTGACTTGCAAAAAAGATTAAAAAAAAAAGTGTTCAAATAATTGAAGGGAAAAGTGTTTTGACTTTTCTAATGTATATTGTGTAATTATAAATATTTTCTCTTTCAAAATGTTAATGTTCCATGGTAAAAGCTTGTTGCAAATGACATTATGAACTTGAACGTTTATTTTTACAAAAAGACCAATTGTAATTTTTTTAATAACACTCTGACCAATAAGTTTTATTATTTAATATTCTTAAATTTTATATAAAGATTACAATATAAAAGTAATTTTTGTGTCATTATTATGGAATAAACTTCTTAGATACCAATTTATGTGATTTTCCTTAGATTTTAGTTTTCATCAAGAGTTATCTTCCTTAAATGAGTTGTTGCCCCTGATGACCCAATTTTTTAATTTGTCATGACCCATACTTTGATTTTAGAACATAAATCATAGGGTTTACAGGCATAAAATTTTACCCATTTGTACAATGGATACCTTAATCAAATATGCTCACTAAAAGTCGCCCCGTGGGGATCCGGGTCTAGAATAGGTCCTCAGTACCCCCCTTGCTTGTCGTAAAAGGCGACTAAATGGGGCGGTCCTTCGGATGAGACCGTATAAACCGAGGCCCCGTGTCACAGCAGGTGTGGCACGATAAAGATCCCTCCCTGCTCAAAGGCCGTAAGTGCCGAGCATAGGCCTAAATTTGCAGCCCTTCACCGGCAATGGTGACGTCTCCATATCAGTGAAATATTCTGGAGAAACAAACAGTATACAATCAATCAATCAATCACTAAAAAGAATTCTGTCTGGATATCACAAAGAAAGCTGTCAATATTAATATGAAAATGACAAAGATTAGGAAAAAAGAATTCACTACAGTTAATTCACAACTTTATTTAAAATTTGTGTTGATCAATCTTTAAAATACATGATATCAAATTTCGGTATCAATCAATAATTGTCTGTATTCAGTCTAAATTATCCGTGCTTCTTGGACAAGTTGAGGGTTAAGTTTATCCAGACATCTGCTACTACCGGCGAGTACCATAATCATGATGGAATGATTCTCTCATTTTCCCAAAGTCTGACTGTTTACACTCACTGAAAAAAAAAATAACCACAAAGTATCATGTTTACAAAGAAAATTATAAATAATTTTATAGGGCCTACAAGAACTTCGGGCTATTTATTTATTATAAGTACATTATATGTACTTCAGAATCCAGAGGAAATCCAGGCCACAGAATCAAATTTGTACTTTTATATCAGGGACCGTTAGTATATTATAAGGTCCCTGTTTATGTGTAGTACATTGTAGGAAATGATAATATTTTTCATAGATTTTTTTTCCAATAAGTCGATCCTAATATTATTTAATCTCACATTTCTATTTTCTCTTGTGGTTTTACGATACAAAAGTGTGCATGAATTTAAAGGTACATAGAAACTGTTCAAAAGTTGCGTCGGGGTGACGACTTTTGATTGGAATCCGGGTGAATTATTTTCCGAAATTATTACAGAACCACAATATTCAGATAGGAAATTTTCTCAGGTTTCTAACAGTGTATGTTGCATAAAAATATTTCGATTACTTACCGTAGTAATATTGACCTCTTTCCTTTGAGACGAAAATACATAAACTTCTGCACATT